TCAGTTCTATTCCAGCTTACCAGAATAAAGAGCTACTTGAAGAAATCGCTGTGCCGGCTGCTATGTCAACCCACGACCTAACACCCCCTTTTTTATATTTATATTTTATATAAAAAAAGTATAAAGATAGAAGTAATCTACATTAGACACAACAACTTAGGAAGAGTAAAAATTTTGAGGTCTTAGAACAAAGGAAGGAAGTCAATATGTGTATATGTATGTACAGTGGTACCTTGGGTTAAGTACTTAATTCGTTCTGGAGGTCCGTTCTTAACCTGAAGCTGTTCTTAACCTGAAGCACCACTTTAGCTAATGGGGCCTCCTGCTGCTGCCGCGCAGCCGGAGCACAATTTCTGTTCTCATCCTGAAGCAAAGTTCTTAACCTGAAGCACTGTTTCTGGGTTAGCGAAGTCTGTAACCTGAAGTGTGTGTAACCCGAGGTACCACTGTAATGACTAGATTAGAATGATGAAATATGATGAAATATGGTTTTATTTGTAGATGTGTGCTTTTTCTTTTGTTTTTTGTTTTCTTTTTTGTGTTCTGTTTTTCTTTCTTGTTTGTACAGTATTATTTTCGATTCAATGTTTGTAATTTTTGTTATAATTTTGCATTGGAAATAAAATATAAAAATATAAAATATAAGCAACCTAAATGTACACTGTTGAGGTCCTATAAAAGTATTTGCTGAAGTTAATTTATTTTAGCTGGTCGAATACAGGGATCATGTTTAATATAGTTACCAACACAGTAATGAAGAACTTCCTCTCAGTGACTGGGATGCTGGTTTGACACCGAGAATGCAATGGTGGCAGAGAAATAATATCCCTTCTTTACCACAGCCATATGGTGAATATGATTAGGTGCCCTTAGTTGCATTTATTTATATTCCTTGTGAGATTTGTGTCACAAGTGTGTGGTCCTGCCATGGACATGGAATTACTCCCAGGCTACTGTTCTGGGGGTTCTGAAGGATGTATTTTGTATTGGCCATTTACAATTTTTTTTAAATAAATGCAGCTGATATTTGCTTTGCTGAGTGTGTCAGGTCAACACGACTGTTAAGGGTTTTCATATACCTGTTTATGGATCAGACAGTTTGTCTTCTACATAAGCCAAGGTCCAAAATAACAATCCCTCTGCATGCATCTCAGTCTAAAAGCACTAACTGTTCCCTCAAGGAGGATTTAATCCACCAGGGTATTTCGGCAACCGATTTCTAATGAGTTCCATCTGACCTGAAATTCCAGCAGCGCTGTGACATTCCCCTTCTGCTAGAGCAGGTGCCTGGTTTGTGAGTATGAGATATTTATGTTCTATCAGCTTATTTCCTTTTCTGCATTCTGCTGACATGGTTACAGAGAGGAACGGAAGCAACATTTGAAAAGAATTGTCATGGTTAGAGGAACTCATAGTGTGGATTAGAGCAAAGTGATTTTGCCCGGGTGCCTTGCAGAAATTTTAGTTCTCCTGTGAACCTCTGTTGTTGTTTTGTCATTTAGTCGTGTCCGACTCTTCGTGACCCCATGGACCAGAGCACGCCAGGCACTCCTGTCTTCCACTGCCATTTGGTCAAACTCATGCTGGTAGCTTCGAGAACACTATCCAACCATCTCATCCTCTGTCGTCCCGTTCTCCTTGTGCCCTCCATCTTTCCCAACATCAGGGTCTTTTCCAGGGAGTCTTCTCTTCTCATGAGGTGGCCAAAGTATTGGAGCCTCAGCCTCAGGATCTGTCCTTCCAGTGAGCACTCAGGGCTGATTTCCTTCAGAATGGATAGGTTTGATCTTCTTGCAGTCCATGGGACTCTCAAGAGTCTCCTCCAGCACCATAATTCAAAAACATCAATTCTTCAGCGACCAGCCTTCTTTATGGTCCAGCTCTGTTACAAATAACTAGTTAGTGGTGCAACTAGTCAGAGATGCAGAGGGCTTGATGTATTATTACACCTTTGGATGCTGAATCACAGCTAAAGCGCAGGAGGAGATAAATTGTGTCCATAGTCATTTCCAATGTGAAACAAAAGCAAATTTTCAACCCAAGCAGGTGCCATGGTGGAAGTTGAGTGAAAATGTACCCTAGGTTTTCTCAGTGAGAACAGAAACAAAATTTAAGTGGCAGTGGTTTGGAATGGAGTAGATGTGAAAATTGAATGTCAAAGTTATATGATACTTTTCACAAAGGTGCAAAGGGGGAGAGGGCTTTTAGACAAGGAACATAGATTTAAAAACAAACAAACAACCGTGTTAAGATGAAGCTTTGCTTGTACATTCTCTTTGTTCTTATAGAATCTCCTACATGACAGCCAGCACAGGACACCTGATTCAAATTGTCAGCTGTGAAGTTTACTGGATAGCTTTGACCCAATTCTCAGCACAATCCTGCAGCATAGAGTGAAAACAAGGCAACATATATGCACTGGCCACTTTAAGTTTTGCAAGAAGCACAAATGTGATGTACTTTGGTTGCCTAATAAAGGGGAGGTGGGAGCAGACAGCTTCTTCTTAGAATAGTTTATGTTATTGTTTATTGTGTGTATGTGTGTAGATAAATAGAAATGTGTGTGCAAGTTGTGTGCAAGAGAAGAAAAACTCTGGTCTTCGATAAAAGAGCACAGGAGGCAACTGTTGGGATTAGAGACCTGGCAGGGTTCTTGTGTATGCAGTGGTTCCTGTGTATTCAGGAGGAAACCTACAGCCACTCACACCAGGGTAAGGAGGTAGTTTTTCCAAGCATGGCTTCTTCTACATCTCCCTTTTATGTAACTGTCACAAGAGGTGCCCAGACCTGTATTAGAAGCTGTACATAAAAATGGACCACATTAGCAATGCAGGGTGTGTGTGTGTGTGTGTGTGTGTGTGTGTCTGTCTATATATCTCTACAAATACTGTATATAGCGGGAAACATCTTTCATGTGTTGCAGCTTTGCCAGTCCAACGGTTCACAGAGTTCATTCCTGCCAAGCCTTGCCCACATTTAAAGCACAAAATCAATCTGCTCTCTGAAGCACACACAACTCTTGTGGGTTTTGTCAGGCAGAACAATTTAAATATGCAGAGATGGTGCTAAAAACGGCTTTCTTTTCTTTCTTAAAACTCAGTCATGTGCTTCTCAGGTTTTAGAAATAACTTAAGAGAAGCCCCCTTTTCGCTTTGGTGGCAATTTTGCAAATGACTGTTAACAATCACAGGTAAAGAATTATTCTGCAATGGAAGTAATTAGGCAGCCGAAGAACTGGAGGGGGGGGGAGCAGCGGCGGACAAGAATGAAATGAAAACAAAAGAAAAACAGCAGACATAAATGGCTCTCTGGTTTGTTTCAACAATGAGCTGGGCCTTAGAAGTATTTCAAAATGTCGTTTCAATGCCTCCAGAACCCAGAAATGCTAAGTAGTATGTGAAGTGAAAAACGCTAGTTGTTAGCCCTTACACACAGCCCAAATGCTGTTTTAGATAAGGGGTGGGGGACTGTTTTCAGCCCAAGGGTGGACTGGATACCAATGGAAGGAAGGGCCAGAGGCAGTAAGTTGGCTCCCCAGCAAGCATTGATCCAGTAGACAACATCCCAGCCATGGAAAAGCCAGAAATCTCTACATTCCCACCCACACCCCAGTCCATCACCCAATCAGGCAAGCAAGAGTAGTTATCACAGTTCAAGAATGCATTCTTGTGGATGAACCTGTGGCCTTTGAGATGGCGTTGGACTACAGCTCCCACCAGCCTCAGCTGACATAGCTATTGGTCTGGGATGATGTGAGCTGGACTCCAGCAACATCTGGAGAGCTACAGGTTCTTCACCCCTGGTTCTTAAGGTTAACGTCCTTCAAAGGCACAATCAAATAACAACAACAACAACAACAACAAAATAAACCAGGCACAATCAAATGATGATTGCTCTTTTGAAGTAATGGCAGCTGAGTCGCTCAAATCCTATATATGATGGACACCCTTCCCTTGGAAATTAAACCAACGTCAAGACTTCAACATTCAAGAACTTTACCTGCGGATACTGATAGATGAATTAAAACATTATTTTTACAGTCAGGTGCTTCTCCAAGCAAGGGCCCGCAGTCTCTTCTTCTAATTTCCAAACAACTGTATTTACCTCTAAGCAGTCAGTCTTCTGTATCTCAGTTAGGCCATCCCTTGCAGCTCCTATGAGAGATTTCCACTTTTACCTTCTCCTGCTGCTTTGCTCTTTTCCTTTCAAGCAGAGAAGAAGCACCCCACCACTCTATTCAACTTAGCAGTGTTCACAGTGGATTCTAAAACAGTCATCTCAAATCACATAAAATAGAGTCTGTCCTTCTCTAGATACCTCCCTTGTGACCAACGTTAGCCAATCCCATGAGAACTACTAGAGAACGCTCTAGAATTCAGTTACCAACCAATCAAATTTAAGCATGTGGTAATGCTTAGAAGCATTTACAATTGTGGTGAATTAAATCACCATACTTAACATGCTCACCATAAAAAAAGGGTGTGTGGTAATGGTGATAGTGCTTAGTGAAATCCCTCTCAATGCCAGTCACCCAGTGAAGGGGAAAAGGAGACAATGGACATGTTCAGAGACCCTCTTTCTTCCCCCTGCTTGGGCCTTGCCCAGCACCTAATAAATAACTTCCCCCAGAGATTCCTCACAGCAAGCCTCTAATGAACGTTGAAGGCTATATACTTGGAAGCAGCTATGCCAATGCAACCTTAGGTAGTGGACGACTGGAAAAAAACCAAGAATGAAGTATGAACAAAAGAAAGACAACTTATTTTCAGCCCCACTACAGCTGATATGTGCACGGACTAGAACACTCTTCTTGGATGGGGACAATTCAGAATCAAATGCAAAATTTCCTTGAGTCAAGCTTAAAGAAAGGAAGGGCAGTCCACACAGCGAACTGTGAGAACTGTACTTCAACTGGAGTACCATCAGGGATAAAAAGCAATAAATTCAAGCTCTTGACAAGTCAAAAACTGGCAGTGTAAGGAAGACACTCCTCCACAAAATAATTATCAGTATCTTTATTCATATTCACTTGCTTTCAAACTACCATTAATATTTAACAAAAGAAAATGTCATGCAAACAAAGATTAAATATTAATATTAAGGGGTGTGGGGAAGAAATGCAACAATTTGTACATTAATCTTGCCTGCTATTTTTTTTTAGATTTTCCCCTGCAAACGAATGGCTTCTCCCATTATCCCTACAGTACCTTATCGTCATTAAATAATTAGAAAAGGTTCCCTTCTCTCCATAATATAAATGTTGAGCCTTAAAAGTGGTATCATACATACAAGGTAACTTTTATTGATTCTATCCTTTGTCAAAAGAAAAGATAAGGGTTAACAAAGCAAATACCATGATGTTATAAGTTGTTGACACATTCCAGGGCTGCAACCTGACCATAGTGTGTGACCTGCATATTTGTAGGCTTTACATTAAGCAAATAGAATAAAATAACAATAAAATCACATTTTATGTTAAGACTGGCTTGCATTCATATAAATAACAAAAAGAAAGGAACAGCTCTTAAGTTATTTCCGTGAAACAGACAGTGATCTTCCAGCTAAGTAATAGAGTAGACCTCTGAAATAAATGGACTTTCCCACTGATTTAAAGGGGTTCACTTTGGGTATTATATTACTTACTTGGAGATAGTATCATACCAAAGAAAAGAACCATTTAAACCCTAGGCCTGAAACCCTGTATAGCACGCAGATAAGCACACACAATCAATGATGAAATTAATTATGGGTTTGTTAAAAATCCATCCATCCTGGCCCAGCCATTTCTGCTTGGTACAGATGTACCTGTAAGGTACTTGCATGGCACAGAGATAGGCTCCTCTCCTTCAAGGGCCTCCCAATTCACTTTAATAGAACAGATTGCTATGGGGCTGCCTGGCAATGAATGGGAAATCTCAGGGGCAAGACGTGCATTGAACTGAAAATCTAGGGAGCACTCAAGGACATTGGAGAGGTGAATTTTTAACCTTTGCAGTCTTGCCCAATGCGCTTGTGTGAAAATCCCACACATAGGTTTCAATGGGGTTTGCATAGGAGAAATTCCCAGTGGAATTTGTGAGCTTTGAATGTCCGATGTGGTACAAAAGATGTATCCGATGGAATCAGACTGGCCTGCTACATGATCTGAAATCTTTTTTCTTTCTGGCATCCATTTCTTCATGGCACCCACCGATAAAGATCAAATCTCTCTTCTATACAAATAGAGCAGTCGAGGCCAGCAAGCCTCAGACAAACCGAATTAAGAACGGAAATAAGATTTTTTGCTGATGTGATTGGTTGCCTTCATAAGGATAACTTATTTTATTTTCTGGTGCTTTGGGGTACACTGAAAATATGGTGTTGAATTTCCTTAACGTTTCATTCTACAGTAATCAGTGATGCTTTATTTATACAGGATTTGAATCTCTTCAATAGGAAAACTGTCTAGATGGTTTTTTTTTTTTTTTGCAAAAGCAGCACTTGATAGTACTATATAGGACTTTGCCTGGCAAGAGCGAAGTTGTATTCCATACCCCCGTAAGACATTGATTAGGAAAAGTTCAGTACTCCCCCCGCCCCCCGCAGTACTATTACAGTTGTATAAAAAGTATAAATAGCATTGTTTTTTCCAGCAAACCATGTAAATTGAACAAATGGATTCCTTATTAAAAAGTATAATACTTTTAATATATATATTTCATATTAGAAGTGTACCAGGAACAACAACTAAACAGCTCTCACAGCAGCCTGCGAGGGACGTATTATTATTGTCCCCATTTTACAGATGGGGAAACTGAGGCAGAGAGGTTTAGTACCATGCCAAAGGCCACCAAGGGAGTCATCGGTAGAGCTGAGAAAGAAGCCCACTGTTCCTAGATCCCAGACCTGTGGTACAACTATGACAACATTATAGCAATACGCCCCCCCCCCCCGAATTTCTTATGAACAGGGAGGACTTTGCTGCATGCTTTTAGAGATTCACTATAAGGCTGTATAGATGCCAGCTTTCACTGGCAGTGTTATCAGCTGATGATATGAAGTGATATGTAATTATCAGTGCTAAATCATTCCCAATTTACTTTAAATATTTCAGATACGTTTTGTTGGCAAAGATGTGAGGTTTAACCATTTTGTTGTCTTGCAAGTAAACATTTTTTTCCTTTGAACCAAACTTTGCTACAACCAAATTCTTAATATTTGACACATTTTTACAGATGCAAACAGATTAAAAAACTGAAATAAAAGCGACAACCATTACATTCTAATGGCCTAGACAACAAAGATAACAAATCACATGATTATTTTTTAAAAAACCCTACCAAATTCCTTAATGGGCATAAACTGAACACTATAAATACATTTCCCACACTATGTTGAGTTTGTGTTGAATTTGGCCACCAGGGAATCGCTTGTATTCTGATAACCGTGAACCAATATGCACTGAGGGCCCAATTCAGCTGGTCCTGTGAGCACAGCTCTCAACTTACAGGATGCTGCTAATGCGATGGGAAGGATGCGAAAAAGGTGGGGTTGTGTCCTGAATATACAAAAATAAAAATAAAATAATGCAACCTTCAGCTTCAGCTTCCTAGAAGATCCGTTTTGTCCTCCATTTGTCTCCTATTGCAAAAATAATTCTAAAAGTCGGGACAGAGCTCTGTTCTGTGGATACTAGACTTGCTAAAATTTTCATATGCAACCTTAACCCCACCCCCTCAAGGCCAATAAGAATTGCTTTTAATTCCACAGACGATTAAATAAGCTATGTCTCCAGTGTTCATTAAGTCTGCGTAAAATGAAATGTTGACTTTCAGGGGACCATGGCTTCTTGAGCATGCATTTATTTCCAATATTAGAAATAGGAGTCCAGCTATTACGGATGAACTGTTGTAGGAGCTGGTGTGTGGAGGCTTGTGCCATTTTAATATTCTGTATCAGATGCACATGTGTCTACAGCTGGTCCTGGTTAAGAATACCTGCTCTCGGGGATTCTAGGGGAAACTAGCTTGCTTTGTGCTAAAAAAAACCAACAGTCGCCAAATACTTCACTGTTAAACCCTTGCGGCACCCTCTTAACGCCTGCCATTTTGCTATACAAAAAAAAGGGGGGAAAGGGGGGGAGTCTCTGTGTTTCTGTAACTGGTGATTTTCCCAGTTATGTAAAAGGTAACTAATGGCTTAAAAGCATTGAGCATATACCGCATTAGACCAATGCTGGGATTTCAAAAGAGCAAGAACAGAGACTACTGTCTGCTATTGAACAGGCAAATTCCAGAGCAATTGAAACAGCTTATGAAAGTGTCTGCTGGAAAAGGAAGGGAAAGCAAATTATTGTATTTTGTAGTGCAATGCTCCACCTGCATTTTAAGCAGCTGTATGCAAACTGAACAGCTGAGACACAGGGCCCTGAAACAAAACCTAGTCAGGGCTGGTTACTGCTCAGTATCACACTTTTCCATATATGTGCTATAAATACAAGTTCCTGTCATTACCATCTATTCGCCATTATTTCACTAGCTTTTGTTGGGTGATAATTTTAGAAGCAGTCCTTTGCTCAGTTCAACAACTCCACATTATCTAGCACTCAAAGCCAAAGGAACATAGGGTAGCGTCATATACCTGGTTAGACTATTGGTCTATTTACCCCAGTGCTATCAACTATGAATGGCAGCAGTTCTTCGTAGTCTAAGGGCAGGAAGAGGCCTTTCAAAACACCCCTCCCTTATCTTTTTAAACGGGAGATGTCAGGAATTGAACTGGTGCCTTGCACAAGAAAAACATGTGCTCTACCATGGAGCTAGGGCTCCTTTCCCAATGGAGGCAAAGCACTCTGGCATCTTGCTTTTTAGACTGTAAGCTCCTCAAGGCAGATACAAGTCTTCTTGTTTGTTGCTCTATAAATTGCACCACCACCTCCACGTTATTGCAGTCCATGCACCCTCAACGTATATATTGCAATCCCCTGTCTGTGTCCGTGGCTGCAGAAAGTGGGGATTTCATGGGAAAAGAACACGTCCTAAAATAACGTTCCCTTCTCAGCATGCTGATGGGCGGATTTTGAGCCTCAATATAGTCCCAAAAGTGTCATCACCGAATATATTGTGTTCCCTCGCCCCAGTGGCAAAAACATATCAAGTAAGTGGAACGCTAGCGTTTGTTTCTTTATCAAATGAAAGTTTAATTTTGCTAGCTAGGCTGTGCCAATTATAGATAAACCACTAAGCGTTAAGTCTGGGAATTAAAAATTATCTGCCCAATTATGATAAAATATGCTTAATTTTCTCTCAAACTGTGACAACTGTTTAGAAAAAGAGGCAAATGTGAAGGAGATATGGTGCCAGAATTCAGCTCAGAACACCTTTATTGTAAAGTAAAGGTACCAATGTCTGATAGCTTTGATACTTTTATGCGTAAAGATAGTCCATCCACACTGACCACATTTTTCATTGTTATACTATTTTTATAGTATAAAGTTCATATGCCTCTTATTCACAGTATCGGTTATTTGCTGCAGATTTCAAGTGGCATGCTTATGTGATGTTCCACATGCACACACGTGACCCTGGGGCCACTAGTGTGCTTCGTGAGTTGGCGTAGGTGCCTCTACACCAGTGAGCACACATGAAGGTAAAACACTCTGTGTTGAGGTACCTTCAGAGAATAGTGGGGCTTTCAAAGCAAGTGCTTTCAAGAAGAGGAGAGATGAAATATTTTGGCACTGTTTGGAGCTATAGTGTACTATGTAACAGTTTCATAAAAGTGGAGACCTCTCTTTCCTTCACGGTAATCTTGTGGAACACATCCCATTTCTAGGAAGCACATTCGTGCGGCCAAAACAGCAGGCGCATTGCCCTCCATGAAGGAAAAGGCATGACAAGATTCTGGCACTGGAGTGCATATTCAGCATCTAGGTTTGCAAATATTAAAAGGGGGAATGTTGACAAATGGAGAGGAGTGTACCATACCGCATGCCGAAAGTGCAAATCAAATACAAACTGATTTTTAAAATCAACATATTCTAATAATAATAAAAAAATAAGGTGGGGGGAGCTTACGCAATTTAAAACATGGGGGCTAGAACTCTAGAGGAAGCATCTATCAATTATAGCAATGGCCTATTATTATTTTCCTGTTTTGAAAATCTAATTGATGTGTAATAGCCACTCAACTTCAACCATGTCTCAAAGAGGATATGAACATGTTCTGAGCATGCAGTCAGTTCTTTTCAATTTTTTTTGTTCCAGTCCTCTTTTCCCATACACATGAAAGCTGCTCTTAAAACTGCCAGCGATCAAAATGTCTTTTAGGGATTTGGTGCAAAGGGAAACCTTGGTTGAGGAGGGCAGAGAAATTATCTACATGCACCAACAGAATTTTTCTTCAGCAGCCTGGGGGCTCAGAGGGAAGTGGTTAAAAGTTTTTTGATGGCGGTCAGAGCCTTGCAGAAAAGCTGCAGGTGGCTGTTATAATTTAGCATTAGGCCTACGTAAGAACAAGGCATAGATTTCCCTAAACTATCCACGTTATGCAGAACTTAAAAAAAAAAAAAACACCTCCAAAACTAGTAATAATAAAACATTAAGCTAAATCTAAATAAAGAGTCATCCAGAACAATAACCTTCACAAAGATAGCACAGCTGTGTCTTATAAAAAATGTATATATCGTCTTCATACTTGATAACAATCATCCGTAATATAGATTCACTTAATGCTTATTATTAAACATGCAAAATTCATTGCATGATGCATATGCAAAAATGTATTCAACGTTTTCAGCCAGGACAACTGCAGCCGAAGACAACATCTTCAGCTGCTTTTCAATTCTCGTTTTGTTTTTCTGTGGCTCCAGGGCTCTTAAACCATGTAAAATACTGAGGGAGGGGATTCATCTAATGAACCCCATCCGCAGAAGTCCTGTGCAAGGACTTCTCCTTGTGCCTAGAGATCCCCCCAGAACAGCCCGTGGGGAGAAGAGAGGGTGATCGTTCTGTCTGGCAAGCTGAAATGCTTTTACGGACGGAACTTTAATCCTAACACAATGTTGAATTCCACCCTAAGCTTTTAATTTTTAAAAACCTTACTTTTATTGGGAAAAGCAGGGACTGACTCTGAATTCTACATTTCTGTTAATTCACTGTACAAACACCTTCCTATCATGCAGTTTGCTAAATAAATAAGTATAAACTGGGGACTTGGGGCTTTGCAGGTTTGTCTCAGAGCCGAGCTAAGAAACAATTTTTAGAACACAGTATTAGAACTTGGCTTAATGATAAACGTTGAGTAGTGGCAAAAATTAAGCAGTACAAATGGCACCCTGGATCACAGTGTAATCTCATGGAGATTAAAGTTAATACACATTATCAGCATGATGCAGTTTTACCTTTGAGATAGTTCATCATAGGTTAATAGTAATCTGACGTATCTTATCTTTTCCATTTCATATTTTCATACGTTTGCCGCTACTTTGATCAACTGATTTTACAAAGATCTCATGGATCTGATTTGTTCATTTGTTTGCTGTAATAGGTATACATGCTCAATTTTTAACATTGAAGCATTTCCCCCCACTCTCTGCTCTTGTTTTCTCTCTGTTTCAATTATTTTACATTTCCGGGCCTATTACCCAGCCATTCATCCTGTCATGTGACACCAAGCAGACCAAAGAAAGACCTGGTCCCACAGGGTTCTACATGCAATAATTCAGATTTGCTTATTATGATTATTCCCCCCCCCCTCAAGTCTACATGATACTCTTAATTAACCCCCGGAAAGGAAAGAATCCCAGAGGTGCAGGGTACAATGGGAAACAACAGAAGTTATAAAAAAAAAATGACAAAGGCTAGCTTCGTAAGAGTAACCTAAAAGCAGCAGTGATTCCTAGATGAATACAATGGGTAGTATGTGGTGATCTCCTGAGACCACACGATCTTTGCTGTAAACCTCGGCATCTTCCCCCGCCTCTTCCCCCTACAATTTTCAGACCCAAATGGAATCAACAAGGCAAAGGTCTAAAAACTCCAGGGCTAAGGACAATTTTCCACTGTGTGGCTTCTTCGCGTCTATCGTTTTCATACTGAGCTCTGCAACAGGGGATGTACAAACTGTGGGTTGACATAGGAGAACCCTTCGAAATCTGCTTGGTCTATGTTAGAAATGACCAGCTGATCAGGCGGTGTTAACACTGGCTGTCCTCTGGTAAAGAACTTGTCAAAGTTTTCAGCGCCCTTGCCACACTGTAAGGTGGGAAGAAGAAAAAAATCAGTCAGAAAAAGAGAATCTTGCTGTAAGTTCTGAAGTAATTTAAAACATTGCACCAGGTATGGAGAAGCTGTGGCCCTCCAGATGTTGCTAGACTCCAAGTCCTGCCATGCCTAGGGCCACACTGGCTGGGGCTGATGAGAGTTGAAGTTCAGCAACATCTGAAGGGCCAAAGGTTCCTCACAAAGGCACTACAGTGTTCTGAAAGTGTGCTAATTGCACTGGACCTCGCGAATTTGTACCATTTCTTTTCAACACAAGCGATGAATGAAGCGCAGTACGCATATTGTTTTGTTCCATACAAACAGTTCCAACTATCTTAGGGCATGCATTCAAGTGAAGTAAGTAATAATAAAGCTATTCAACAGTATTAATTAAGTGGTGCTTAGTCTGTTTTTGACTGTTAGTTTGTTAATGTTGTTAATACTGCCTTGTGGGTTATGAGTGCCGTAGTGCTTTGTAATTGGTGTGAACAAAAAGTAGTGTAGAAATATAATACATGAAATGAAACAAAGCAAGGATTCCAGTTGTTGTGGTGGCACTTTGCATGAGCAGCACTTTAGTGCTCATTCCAGTTGAATAATCTGTAATAATTCGGATCTTACAAGAGCATTTGTTCATGAGAATCTAGGAGTGGTCAGGGCAGCTTATGAATTTTTTGTTTTTGTACTGATTCCCCCCTGCAAGCTAGTTTACAACCCAGTCTATTGTTGTTATAACTGAAAAGGAGAGCTGCACAAGTTTTCATTTTAAGTATTCTTTTCTTTCTTTCTTGAAGGATGCATGTACTCAGACTCGAGATAGCTGTAAAATAAAGATGAAAAACCAAGGGAAATGGGGGGGGGGGTTCCAAATGCCACAAGCAGCATTTGAAAGGGACGTGGCAGGCAATTTTGTCGCTGGCATATTCCATCAGACAACAGCCATAGGAAAACACTTCCAACAGTTGCACTAAAAAAAAAAATTGAGTTGCTGCATCAGGAGTAGCCAACAGGGTGCTCTTCAGATGTTTTGGACTACAACTCCTATCAGCCCCAGCTAGCATGGCTACTTGTCAAGAATGATCGGAGCTGTAGTCCACAACATTAGAAGAGAATTGAATGGACAAACTCAACTATGGTATTCTCGTTATTTAATATTGAATTAAATGTATTGTACTTCGGAAACATTTGATTTGGAATTTTCCTCTTAAAAATCATGAAATGCTATTGCAATTACCACAAATGTCCAATATATGTACTTCACACGAGCTCCGAACTGACTGCTCTCAAGTGAAAGGCAGAAGTTTTAATACATGCTGCAATTTAATTAAGGACTAATATATTAGCTACCCAGATTCTTCCTTATTTCAGATTATCTGAGCTACATATAAAATAGTCCCACAACAGAATATCATGGTGATCATTTATGCAATGAAATAACTAAGAAGGCTTGAGGAACATGCCTCAGGTACCGTATTTTTCGCACCATAGGGCGCACCGGACCATAGGGCGCACCCAGTTTTTAGGGGGGGAAATCAAGAAAAAAATCTTTTCCCCCCCCAGCCCCAAAGAGCAGCGTACAGGGTGCGCACAACTTCTCCCTGCCGGAGGGGTTGCGCGCAGCTATGCAGCAAGCCAAGTTTTGGCTTCCCCTTTAGCCCCATGCAGCCTCTCCTTGCCGGGAGACGCTGCGCAGGGCTAAAGAAGCCATAGCCCCGTGCAGCCTCTCCTTGCGGGGGGTTGCGTGCAGCTATGGAAGAAGGCAAGGCAGCGAGCGGGATGGATCCCGCTCGCTGTTTTGCCTTCCCCTTTAGCCGCGCGCAGCGTCTCCTTGGGGGGGTTGCGCGCAGCTATGGAAGAAGGCAAGGCAGCAAGCGGGATGGATCCCGCTCGCTGTTTTGCCTTCCCCTTTAGCCGCGCGCAACGTCTCCTTGCGGAGGGGTTGCGCACAGCTATGGAAGAAGGCAAGGCAGCGAGCGGGATGGATCCCGCTCGCTGTTTTGCCTTCCCCTTTAGCCGCGCGCAGCGTCTCCTTGGGGGGGTTGCGCGCAGCTATGGAAGAAGGCAAGGCAGCAAGCGGGATGGATCCCGCTCGCTGTTTTGCCTTCCCCTTTAGCCGCGCGCAGCGTCTCCTTGCGGAGGGGTTGCGCGCAGCTATGGAAGAAGGCAAGGCAGCAAGCGGGATGGATCCCGCTCGCTGTTTTGCCTTCCCCTTTAGCCGCGCGCAACGTCTCCTTGCGGGGGGTTGCGCGCAGCTATGGAAGAAGGCAAGGCAGCGAGCGGGATGGATCCCGCTCGCTGTTTTGCCTTCCCCTTTAGCCGCGCGCAGCGTCTCCTTGCCGGGAGACGCTGCGCAGGGCTTTCCTGGCTTTTCTGGGAGGTGGGGGAATTCCCCCACCTCCCGCAAAACCGGCAGAAGCCGCGCGCACTTTAAAAGGGCTGCACGGCTTCTTCTGGCTTTCCTGGGAGGGGGGGGATTCCCTCACCTCTCGCAAAAGCCCGCAGAAGCCGTGAGCTCTTTAAAGGGGCTGCGCGGCTTCTCCTGGCTTTTCTGGGAGGTGGGGGAATTCCCCCACCTCCCGCAAAACCGGCAGAAGCCGCGCGCACTTTAAAAGGGCTGCACGGCTTCTTCTGGCTTACCTGGGAGGTGGGGGGATTCCCTCACCTCTCGCAAAAGCCCGCAGAAGCCGCGCAACTCCTTTAAAGAGATCGCGGCTTCTCCTGGCTTTCCTGGGAGGTGGGAGAAGGGACTGATGCGGCCAGTCAGACCCTTCTCCCTCCTGTGGAAAAGCCCGCAAGAGCGCACGGAGCTTGTGTGCGGCTCTTGGGGGGCTTTTCCCGCCTGCCTCCCCCCCTGCATTCGCTCCATAGGACGCACACACATTTTCCCTTGCTTTTTAGGAGGGAAAAAGTGCGTCCTATGGTGCGAAAAATACGGTATATGGTACAGATGGCCAGAAAAAAACTCACACATACAGACATAGGTATCTGATGGTCATCCAGTGTTAAAAAAATTCATCACAATCATAGCTCTTGAGCCAGAGAAACATAGTCTGGAATTGTGCACATGTAACTCCTTGGTCAGATAATTGACAATAGCATTTATCAAGGACTCAGGTGGAGGAATAAATTCATCTCCCCACACCACCTCATAACCAACTGTTGACTGGTGTAATATGACTCCAGTCCTGTGAGCCAGAAGTATACATAGAAATATACATGGAATCATAAGTGACCCTGAGAATGTTCTAGTCCAACCCCCTTACAATGCAGAAATAGGCAGTTGTCCCATACGGGGATCAAACCTGCAACCTTGGTCTTATCAAAACCCTGCTCTAACCAACTGAGCTATCCTCTTTCTTGCTTGACCTTCTGAACTGGAGAGCATGATATGACTCCTCCTCCAGTAAGGGCCTTTTGCTCACATGATCCTGCCTGACCAGTGAGAGGGAAGATTTGGGGAGGAAATGTGTCAATAATATCTACAAGGCTCATAATTCAGTTAGCAGTATGTGTGCAGGAGCCTGCTTCTGTAGATGTATGCCTAACAGGATTGGGAGCAATAATTAGTCAAGGAACTCCCATTTCATCTGCAGCAGCTAAACTGTAGAATAGCACGAGTAATAATGTCCCGCTAGCTGCTCAGCCCCCTCCCATGTATTTAACCTCGGTTTTTGCTTCAGCATCCTGAAGCTCAAATGCTTACACTGCTATTAGAGAGGCACAAGTTCTATATTACATTCTTTAAAATCTCAACATTATGTGGCCATGGCTATGACTCATAATTGCCCTACAGTAGGATTTGTCATTAGTCTGTCACTATTCTGCCAACATGCACCACCTTAATGTCTGGTTTGCTATAAATGGGAAAGTGTTTCAAATGATACACTCTTACCCTTTCGCTGTGTGTTTTTTTGTTTTTAAACCAAGCAACGCTGTGACAATCACAAAGGCCTTTAGCTTGGTGGGTCTTTTGGTGGCATTCCAGCCCACAAACCAAAAATAGACGTTTTAGAGAATACTCTTTCCAGGTCCCCAGTTTATTCTGTACTAAGCAGCATGTGACTGCAATTAATTGTTCCATCAAATGTAATGTTCATAAACTATGAAGCATTTCAAAGCTTTCAGCTGCCCACACCAAAGCTGAAAAACAGCTTTCCATTATCTAAGTATGCATAGCAAGCATTACCAAACACATTAAAAAGTATTACTGTTATTTCAACTGACATGGAGAGCCAAAGTTTTGGGTGGTTGGTTTTTTTTTTTTTTTTGTGAAAAAGGAAATGAAATATAAAATTCAAGAAATATTCATGAAACTCTGATGAATTCCCATGAGGTGAAAAACCAGCACTACCCTACTCTGCTGCTTATTATGATTATTAATATCAAACTTCCAGCACACATGGAATTAAAAACCCCATAGGTATTCCAGATTGGGATTCTCACTCAGAGAAGTGAAGAAGTGATAAGCCTGAAGGGCAAAAGTATAAGTGCATGGGAAGGGAACAATGAGAAAAATGCAGACTGTATAAGACTGTCACTCCACTGAACTACCAATGAAACTGACATGTTTCACACACTTTACAGTGACTGGATCCAATTGTATCTATCAACTTCAGCTGCTACTTTAAGTGCTAAAAACAGGTGGCTGGTATAAAAACAGATTACAGGGTACCTGTCTCCTCCATTGAATGATGTGAGTATATTCTCACTCCATGCTCAAAAGTGTAAAGGCTAGTGTGATTGATGTTTAATCTTAGAATGATGTAGTGCCATTTCTGGCTTCCGTTTTATTGAATGCTGCTAAGGCTACTTGAGTTATTCTATTGTTCTCTTTGCTGTTTCAAACCTGAGCATATTTCAGCATACGTCTAAAACTTGTTATGATAATTGGGATTGAAAATGTGTATTTCAGAAGCTCAATGGTTTTTTTTGTAGTTTGTGTACTTGAATTATGAAAAACAAAACAAGTTTTAAAGATTTGTGTGTTTTTTAAAAAGACTCCAGAAACAGTTCATTGGGGGAAAGGAAGTGTTTGTTTGTGTCACTTACCACTTTAGGTTTGAAGGGAGGCTGGATCTCTCGGTTTTCCAGTCTCTCCCAGTCAATTCTCCTGAAGAAGGCATGCTCTCGGATGTCTCTCTCCCCCTCAGGCCCACAGCCAAGACGCTTTCCAGGATGTTTAGTCATTAGCTGGAAATCAAGCACAAAACTCATGAAGAGAGGTTTCCAGAATGGGAGCAACAAAGTAGAGCTGTGCCTGGGAATAGGATATTTGAAAATGTCCTTTAATTGTTGCAAACCTGGTTATGTTTTTATCTCTGGAAACAGCCTTTACTTTGTTGTCCTTTTTTAAACAAGCCAATTAAACTTGATAAATTCCATTATGCTGAAACTGTAAGAAATGTAATTTACCCTTTATCTTTTGGGCACACTCTAGCCATCCCATTGGCCTGGCTCACGCATCATGCTAAGCCAAATACTGGCTCGTTGGGAGCAGATTGTGGTCTCTTTGCTCCTCCTTGGACATTTTGCTGCTGCACCAAACCAAGCTAGGTCACGCCGTGGCTTAGCATGTCACCTGAATCTCAGCTCCTGGACAACCCAAGAGATGTAAAACCAAGAGCAAGTCTTGGTTATACCTTGTTGTTAGAGCCATGGTTCGACAACATGCTAAGCCAAACCGTTGGCATGGCAGGAAAAGGACCAGGGTGACACAAAGCAGCCACAATCTCTTTCCTGGGAGCCCATAAGCTCGCATTAAGCCAAAGTTTGGCTTAGCATGACATGCAAACCAGGCCACTATGCGATTTAACCCAGTGGCAACTAGTATGCCTCTTTTTCGTTTGTGTATTTACTACTTATCTGATCAATACCATCTGCGTGGAGGAATCATGATCTTGGAAAAGGAGAAAGCCCTTATATTTGTAACTTGAATGGCTCTCTTAAAAAGGAGGGCAAATGGATAGTTGCAGGGAGTACGGTTTCAATGAATTCTGTGGTCTGGCTACCGGCTTCAACACCTCAGCGATTTCTTTAATGTTCATCTCTAGTTATGTGTTCAACATGAATAAATGCGGAGTTAGAATAAGCAGGAATCAAAACAATTCAAACTTTGAAACAGACAGCAAAAAAAACCCACATGGAGAAGTCACTTTCAAGGATGCACCATTTTTGACAGGATAGCAACTTATATACAGTATAGGAATGTGTGAATTAGGTCTAATTTTGTGTGGTTTTTAAATGCTTCCTTTGTATTCTTTGCTTATCTGTATGCCACCCTGGGTACTTAAGAGAGGAAGAGGGCAGGGTAGATTAATGTCTCCATTCACTTCTGCAGCATCTCCTTATTAAGACCCCTAAAGTCAATAAAGCAGACCTGTTTTTCTGTAACACTTAAAGTGTCTTATAGGGGAATCCTAAGCCCACTGGGACGCAGGTGGCGCTGTGGTGTAAACCACTGAGCCTAGGGCTTGCCGATCGGAAGGTCGACGATTCGAATCCCCATGACGGGGTGTGCCCCCGTTGTTTGGTCCCAGCTCCTGCCAACCAAGCAGTTGGAAAGCACGTCAAAGTGCAAGTAGATCAATAGGTACTGCTCCAGCAGGAAGGTAAATGGCGTTTCTATGCGCTGCTCTTGTTTCGCCAGAAGCGGCTTAGTCATGCTGGCCACATGACCTGGAAAAACTGTCTGCGGACAAACGCCGGCTCCCTCGGCCTGTAAAGCGAGCTGAACGCCGCAACCCCAGAGTCATTCGCGACTAGACCTAACAGGGGTACCTTTACCTTTAAGCCCACTTACCAAAGCTACATAGGACTTCTTAATATGCATGCTTAGAACTGCACTATTAATTGCAGTTTCTGAATCTTTGGACACAAGCCAAATGCAGATTCTCACTTTGTCACAATTACAAAATGGAAAGAAGGACTGTGCAGGTTGAGCACCAGAGTTCTAAGAAAATGGCAGGCTTGTTTCTGGATATAAAATAACCAGAGCACATCTAAAGCATTTGTTTGAGGAGCAGCTGGCTCCAGAAATGGTTTCTTATCATAAGTACGGTATGTGTTCCCCCTACTCTACGGTGAAATAAACTTCTCTGTTAGGAACAGGTGCATAACTGCTCTCCTGCTGATGGATCAGGTTGAATTGCTAGGAAGAAGGAGGAAAATCCATCTGTATTTCAGAAAAGATTTTGCTGTTCTCCCCCCCCCTTAAAATAAGCTGTTTCTCTCCCCCCCCCTTAATTTATGGACAGTATGCCCTCCTAAAAGCATGAGTTGAAGCAGATATTGCTGTGGGAGGTGTCTGCTCAATTTGCAAGACACGATGCATATGCCACCTAGCGGTGCAGGTGAGCAATAAATGAAGCTCCTTTGTTAGATTTCTTACGCACCCTTTACCATAAGGTCCTAGGGCAGTGACCTTTTGTGGCTGCACAACTGGAAATTAATTTCAAGGGTGGACAGAAGATAAACTTAAATACAAAGAAAGATGTGACCATTTTCTTCTATGGAGGAAGGCAGCCTGCTATGAGCGAAGCAGCCTTCAGAATACTCAGGAATGCAATTAAACAATTCAAACACAAAATTCTTTCTGTATTAATAGAACAAGGAAGTTTTGGTTCAGAAGTGTCTAGTGAACAACCAAAGGACCCAATGATTTTCTGTTTGGTTTTTTATTGACGGAGCTTAATAAAATGTTTAGTAATAATATCAGTGGTATCAACATCATCATCATCATCATCATCATCCTGAAAACAGAGAGAAATACAAGCAACCTTCCCAAACCTGGTGCCCCACAAAGGACTTCCACATATGTAGGTCAGAACATTTAGAGGGCAACCAGATTGGGGCAGGGTGCCCTAAAGTATAGCAGCCATTTGTATTCTGAAGGCACGAAACAAAACAAAAACCAAACTAAACAAAGAACAGGAAGAATGCAGACCCGAGGAAGACAAAATCAAATTTTAGAATCCTCCCTAGGATATTGAGCATCTCCTTTACATTCAAGCACCTTAAGGATAGAAAAAATACTTTATATTGCCACCAGCTTCTATCTTTAGAACCAGTGCAAGATCTGAGAGCTCCCTCTTCAGTTTCTAATGCCTATGAAATTGAATTTGTGCCTCCTAGGTTCTACGAAACTGTGTGGCTATGAAAGGGACCACCAGGAATAACCAGATTGCAGTTGAAACCGATGAGACGGGAAACATTAAAGCAGAAACTTATGGGGAAGGCAGAAGTTCAAACATATTCATTAGTATGAACAGGCAAAACCACCTGAACCATGGAGTACCTCCAAGTATAAAGCCATTACACGTGGCTGATGATGCATCTCAAACCACTATAGCTTGTTTGTTTATTTAAATAAAGCACAGAAAATAGTAAAATCAATAATCTCAACAGTAAAATATAACCCGAACAGCAAAATAGATCATTGCAGCAAAATTTCTTACCCCCTTGCAAATGGACACAGCTTCTTTGGACATTGCTTTGGGGTACGAAACATTATGTTCCATTATTGATTGAAAGAGCTCGTCTTCATCTTCACCATCAAATGGAGGCTGTTAAAATGTGGAGTGATTGTTAAATTAAATGTTAAATGGGTAATTCAGAGTTAATGTCAACACAGAATATTTACCCAAACGCAGATTAATCTATTGAGCATAGGTCAGCCTTCCCCAACTTGTTGCTCTCCATATGTTTTGGACTCCAATTCCCATCTTCCCCAGCCAACATTGCCAATGGTCAGGGATGATGGGAGATGGAGTCTAAAACATCTGGGAGGCACCAGATGGAGGAAGGCAGTTTTAATTACCTTCAGATGAATATCTATGCCTTGGTCACAATTTTATGGAAAGGTGAGATACATTTAATAACAAAAATGTGGCCAAGGTCAACCCTGAAGTATGAGATAATGTGCTATTCTGTGCACACTACTGTGTGACAGCTATACATTGCTAAGACTTTGCCTCTACTCCACTGAACAAAGGAGCAGCCAGCGCTGTTGTCCTAGAGAGGCAAACAGGGCAGCAGACCAGCCACAGTGAACATATGCCTTCCGATTCCTCTCCCTGAGTGCCACAAAACCCTGCCATTTATGCTGCTCCTGGCATGCATTTCACAGTATTACGTATATTTGCATACAAATGTCAGGGATGGAACAAGAGCATGTAAAAGCTTGAGTTTCTTCCCCGCCCCCAGCAGTTTTTTGGAAGAGAGGCAGAAGCAGCAAGATCTGTTCTCATCCCCAAAACAGCTTTAAAGACACCTAACTGCCTGTGCCTAATCTACCTGAATTTGGAAGGCTTTGTTCCCTCAGAAGTGTCTGCTATGCCTACAAATGTATTCCAATTCTGACAAACAAAACGTTACAGCGGTTTGTTGATTTCCCCATTATAATCAATGGAGAGACATTATAATCAAGGGAGAGAAACAAAGTAACAGTGTTTACAAAGCAAAGGTGTTGTCTGAAGCACTCCAAGGTCGGTAGGCCTTCTATATGAAGCACCCAATCAGGTTCTGAAGATTTTTGTTTGTGTGCACACCTCAAGTTTAGATGTTCAAATCTTGTCTTAATAAATCAAGATATGAGTGAGCTTACTGCACACACACTTATTTTGCTCCTTCCTCTGCACAAGCTGGGAAACAAATCAGGAGGACACAGTTAAATACAGCTTTCTTTTATATCCAGACTGAAAACCACAGTTAATGGCTTCCATACAAACCATATTAGGAAGACAAGTTCCATGGGTTTATGTTGTGGATGGTTTGGATGGTATTAACCATAGTTTCCTGGTTTGGACATAACATGAAGGCATGGTTAGCCATAGCTTCCTTGTTTCCATGCTCACATGCAGGGAGGAGCAAAAGGACTCTGTCCAGGTACATAAAACTCATTCACACTTCAGCTTACTAAGCCAACATTTGATCATCTGAATGAGGCTTTAGTTTGTGCTGCATACATAAGGGAAGGTGACAAACTATTTTCAATCTGAAAGTGGCCGATGATTCCCCAGAAATCCCTAAGTATTGGAGACAAAAGAAGCAGAACTATATAACTATAAACTGCACTTTATGTGCAGTTTTGCTCCTTCACTCCCAGCGATGGAAAACAGCACAGCTTTCAATGGGAAGGCTAGCTCTTAATGGGTTACTGGATCACCTCTTCCATGAGCCAGCAGAACAAAATTAAACCGAACTGATACCAACCGAACTCAGCCACTCTGTGTTTGCATTTCTCATTACATACTTAAACGCTATCAGTTTGTGTGCACACAGGAACAGGTTGGTTATTAAGGCTGATGAGCTGTTAGCTATGCAGACAATGTGCATATTATAATCTCGTGACTTGATTTAACTTTCATAGAGCGTGGGGGGGGGGAAATATGGATTGAACTGACTGAATCTAACAACCCTGCTGTTAATTTCTCTACTAATAAGGCATCTTTCACACTTAATCATTCACCTGGCATCAATGCTCACTCATTGAAGTATTAAATGCAGAAGCACAAACATCCTTACCTGACCAGCTAGCATCTCGTATAGCAGTACGCCATAGGCCCACCAGTCGACTGACCTTCCGTATGGCTGATAGGCAATAATCTGTGAATTGTAATGAAGAAACATATGTTTTAAGGTTGATTTTATTATTTTTTAATCAAACGTCTAACTGAAATATTCTGTAGAAATAATTTTATAAACAAAATCAAGATAATGGAAAAATACTGAAGTCATGCTACGGAGGGACACAGTTGGAACAATTGGTTGATTCAGCTTCATGTAATTAACATTTATAACTCCATGCAATTCACAGGAACAGCTACAGGCAGGCCCATGCAGAACAGGGAGTAGCCAGGTACACTTGCCACAGTCCTCAGAGGGCTGAGCCAGCCGGGGGGTGGGGAGACCCGCCAGATTTATGTTGGCATGCCAAGAACAAGACTCCCACTCCAGGCCTCAGACAACCTCTGCATGGGCCTGGCTACAGGCATCTGTAATTGTGGCAAACTGAAAAGGGCAAGAAATGGCCAGGGTGTGCAATCATGGGTTGACAACCATGGTTTGCATGAAGTTTTAAAGCTGCAACAAGCAAACCATGGTTAAGACAATATTCTCAACTCTCCAGTCTCTATGTTTGTTAAGGGGAGAAACTGATGTTGACAGTATCTTCCTATGAATCAACTCCAGAGGGAAGGCAAGGTAAAACATTCTGATTTTAGCAGGGGCTAAGGAAACAAATCATAGTGAGTGCTAACCAGAATTAAGGGTATGTTTGCACTTAATGCTAAACCATGGCTTAGCAGCACATGGATGATTCTCAGTAAGCCAACTTCGAATCAGGAGTTATGAAGCTAGCTTGTTTAACCATTGCTTGTTTCAAACCAATATCACATGTTTGTACACAAGCTATGCAGAAGTCAGTATTCTGGCCACATGGGAGAAAGAGGGAGCGTGCAAGTCTGACACCTCACTTTGCTGAGGCTTGTACACATAACACCTGTTTAAGCATTATGTGTAAACCAACCCTAAGTGCTGTATCTGCACAAGGACTGCTGAACATCAGTTATTTGTTTGTTGAAGTAGTTGAGCATGTTAAACAAGGTGTTTCAGTGGAAATTCACATTGCAGACCAGATCTATTACATGCTACTTCAAAAATAAATGTTAGTAAACACTGGATTTAATGGAAGAGACCGAGATCCTTTTGCTCTGCTGTAGTAACAGGACTTCATAGCAAGTCAACACTAACATTGAAGCAATTATTGCTTTATTCTGGGTCTTTAAAGGCATTTTTTAAAATCTGCAAACCCTAGTTAAAGACATACTAGTTGAATCATCAATTGATTTCTATTCCATTTCACTTCTACAGTATAAATAAAATGCAGGAAGGCAGCCTTACTGTGCTAATGCATGCCACATAAAATGAGAGTGGAAACTGTGTTCACACTTAACAAACAGGTGCTGTCTGAGGCACTAATTGGGAGAATGTGTACTTCAAAGACATAAGTAATTGGGAAGCTTAATTATTCCCTTTCATGATATAAAAGGAAAGTGAGCAGAAAGGTGAGAGCCAAATAAAAAAACCATTCAGCTCACTTGCTTCACTGACAGAGATGATGTCTAGATACACAAAATATGAATATATATTAATTCAAGTAAGGATTTATTTGCCTGTAAATAACAAGCCAGTCCTAACACACTAATTCAAGATATAACTGTGTGGTAAATTCAGACTTTACTCTTATGGCTGTATAACCTATAAAACTCAAAGAAACTGGCTGTGTCAATGATTTCCTTTTGGATAAATGCAGTTGGGTAGCACTGGGCCTAAGAGACAAATTAACTGCTTGGCAAAGTTTTCCTTCACTGTACTTCATTTGTCCATCCTATTTGGGCTTGCAGTGCTTCAGGAAGGCCCAGGAGGGTGTGGTTTTCCCCAGTTTGTCACTATGCACTGTTATGTACTGAAGTTCTCACCCTGGGCCCAGCAAGGGGATACTGTAGATAGTTATGCAAATAAGGGATCGAAAGTGACGTTCAGTGATTGGATAGTTTTAGCAAGTTGTTACAGTAACGTTGTACTGGAGCTCTATATAAGCAGGCTGACTGAACCCTTCAGTTCAGTTCTGTCCTGGCCTGTGAATAAACAAGAGCTGTTTGGAGAATCACTGTGTCGTCTGATATGTTCACCCACAACCTAACATGCACCATTTTTATCATCATGTGATTATCAGTGAAAGGAATCTGGTACTGGACAGGTTGCTTAAACATGCATTTCACAGTTGCCTTGGGGAAATGGGTGTACGGTGTTTCACGTCTCAGATAGTAAGTACCTCAGGTGCAATGTAATCGGGAGTCCCACAGAAGGTCCTCGTCGACACCCCATCAGCCATATTCTCCTTGCACATCCCAAAATCTGCAATCTTAATGTGCCCTTCATGATCCAACATTACGTTATCTAATTTCAGATCCCTATGAGAAATCACACAGCAATTAAAAGTCTGAATCCAAACAACAGGCGACAATGCTCCTCTCCATGGGCTCCAATTGAGATTTCAATTCCAGTGACACAGGTTCATAGTCTGGGAGTGCTCATGGGTTAGGTGTGAGAATCTCAGGTGGTCAGATACAGTGGTACCTCAGGTTAAGTACTTAATTCGTTCCGGAGGTCCGTTCTTAACCTGAAACTGTTCTTAACCTGAAGCACCACTTTAGCTAATGGGGCCTCCTGCTGCTGCCGCTCCACCGGAGCACGATTTCTGTTCTCATCCTGAAGCAAAGTTCTTAACCCGAGGTACTATTTCTGGGTTAGCAGAGTCTGTAACCTGAAGCGTACCCGAGGTACCACTGTACTGTGAAACTCCAAGAACTAACTACTGTAACATGTATTGTACTCTGCCGAAAGTATTCTGCCCTCAAAGGGAGTTCAGAAGTTTCCACTTATGCAGTATGTATACTCTCATTTTGGAAATTGGAATACATTTGTTCCTTGAGTCTGAATTGTGGCAACTGCTGTGGTTATGGATCAGTTTCCAGATACTCAGTTTTATGCTCTAAGGTGGCCAGAATAGACCACATAATCAAACAATTCAGGGTTCAAATTTCGCACTTAGTCATGAAACTCACTAGTTGGGCCTTGGGCCAGTTACCATTTATCAGCCTAACCTATTCCTTCCTGAGAATGCGTGCAGCCAACTTCCTCCCGCCCTCATAACTATTTTTTCGCCGGTGGTGACAAACTTTGTTTTTCTGCAGAGCAAACAAAAGTGTTTCTGGGTGCGACTTGAATACTCACCGATAAATGATTCCTTTTTTATGCAGGAAGAACAGCCCCACGGAGATCTCTGAAGCATAGAACCTGCAAGAAAAGAACACCGCATTAGATACAGGAATATGTTTTGGAGCTTCCATTCTGGCACTTGCCAAGCGACTGCTGCCTCTCCCCATTTTAAAAATTGTTCTGGCTTTTTGGGGGTTGTTTGGCTGTTTGTGTGCGTGTATGGGAGGCTGCTTGTTGTGGTGGTGGTGGTGGTTGTTTTTGTTGTTGTTGTTGTTGGGCTTTATTACAGCCAGCAAAATAACTCAATGAATGTGTCAAGAAAGGCATGTGTCCTGGAGCCAGATAGAGAGGTCTGCATTTGGGCCTGGGCTTAAGGTTCCAGACCCCTGTTTTATGTCCTTCCTTGCTTTTCTCGATCCCGCAGGTCTCTCTGGCTGGTTACCAGGGGCCTCATCCTGGAGGGGCCTATGTCCCTTTCTCTCCTGAAGGAGAGTTATCGGTATCAGCCCAGAATGTTACACAAAGCTTAAAAGAAATATAATACAACCTGACAAAAGCTGTGTGAACAGGAGATAGCATATGTCATATTGGACGATATCTAATCTTTGTGACTGCCACTGTTGCTTAGCTTGTTTAAGAGTCGTACAGGATACAGAGATCCAAGAAATACATTTCCTTGCCAAATGTTCAGTGACTTAATTACATGAAGATAACGGAAATGACTGGCGCCTAGGATCTAATTGTTCTGAGCAGTTCACAAATTTGCGTAATACTGACGAGCTTTTGGAAGCCAGAGTTACTGCGTAGGGTTGCCAACAACACACCCTACTAAAAGGGGGCAGGGTGAGGATGGGAAGGAGAGAGGACAAATATAGCCCTAGAACAAAATATTAAATGACAACTCTGATTTGAAAATGAACAGAGAAAGAGACACTCACACGGCTTGAGGCTCCTTGAATTTTCCTACTTGCTGGATATGATACATGAGGTCACCGCCATTCACGTACTCCATGACAAAATATAGGCGATCCTAGCACACAACGTGAAAGCAAAAATATCTATCAGGCAGCAGAGACCTGTCACTATGAAATTGTTAAGAGAAATCTTAAGCAGATCTGCACTGAACACAAATCTGTATTATTGTAACACAGCAGCACAGACAAGGCATGTAACAATAACGTATAGCTATAATAACGTCAATGCTCTTCTGTTCGGTAGACAAACTCATATTGGCTTTTCATAATGATATTTGATTACTGAGCCTGTCACTGAGGGGGTGGGTGGGAGCCTTCCCCTCCCAATCATTATTTCTGAGACAAAATAAGGAACAAATAAATTGATATTGCAGTGTTGACTTTAATTTCCCTAAATTTCTGTTTTTTACAGAAAAATAAATGGAACCAGTGCCAGATATAGGGCAGGGTGGGCGGTTCACCCACACAAAGTTCCCAGCTGGGGGAGGGAGATAGAATCCAACTTAGTGTCACATAAGGTAAAGGGACCCCTGACCATTAGGTCCAGTCGTGGCTGACTCTGGGGTTGCGGTGCTCATCTCGCTTTATTGGCCAAGGGAGCCGGCGTACAGCTTCCAGGTCATGTGGCCAGCATGACTAAGCGGCTTCTGGAGAACCAGAGCAGCGCACAGAAAAGCCGTTTACCTTCCCGCTGGAGCGGTACCTATTTATCTACTTGCACTTTGACGTGCTTTCGAACTGCTAGGTTGGCAGGAGCAGGGACCGAGCAACGGTGGTTCACCCCGTCGCGGGGATTCGAACCACCGACCTTCCGATCGGCAAGTCCTAGGCTCTGTGGTTTAACCCACAGCACCACCCGCGTCCCTTAGTGTCACATAGAAATGGTTAAATTTACTTCCCAATTACAGAGCTACCCCTATGACTTCTTTTCCTTATGTCTATTAATAGCTTCATCAACAGTCAAACAGTTTGAAGTATATTTAGAACACACTGTACCAGAAACTCATTAATTTAGCATTCCTATTCTAGTTTTTATACATTCGTTTTTATTCCTTTGCCACAGCTTCATTAATTTACTGTCCAGTAGCTTATTATTTTTCTTTTTTCTTTTTTTAGAAAAAGAAATTTCTTTTCATTGTTTTGAAGTGGATGCCCCCAGCAAATTTCATTATTTTAATTAATGTGGGCAAATCACAACTTTCAACATTTATTTTGGGGTTGTGTGATAGAGATATATCTCTTACAAAACTCGCTATTAAATTAAAATTTTAAATAAGCATTACACCGCTTTACTGCATATGCTTACTCAATGACACGTTCAAATCTTTTGTGCAGAAATAGGGTTCCCTTCCCATTCTTAATTCTATAATGCTTATTTCCTTTATTACAGATCCAATTCCATCCGGGAGAATATGGAATGAAATACAGAATGTCAGAATGGAACCGTAATTCGTTCAAGGTTGTAGCTCAGAACGGCATCTGAGAAATTGCTCAGAGAATAAAGTGACAGAGTTCACTGAAGTCTGGTGCATGGTCACTTGTAAACTCAGCCTGTGAACTGTCTTCACTGAGAAGCATTATAAAAACTCTGCCTGTGCTATTAGTTCTGGAACAGCCATTTCACACATGCTGATCACCCATTGACACCCATCATGTAATGAGTGTGTGCATGGATGAACTGACTAGTTTTCTTGCGCATCATCAGTTCAAGTTAAACTGAACATGCATGAGAAAGCCAATGATGAGTTTTATAGGTTTGAAAGATCTACTGCAAAGGTTCTAGAGGCAGTCATTTCTAAGCAAAGTTCTTAGTTGTTGCTTAAGGCTTATGTCAGGAAAACACTTGACATATGGCAAGTCTAGTTCAATGACAAAATGAAGAGGATGGGATTCAACCAAATTGTTCCATGCACAGACCAGAGTCTTCTCACACAATGAGGCTTCCGCCTCTCTAATCCCCTGTGCACCCCACACCCCTAAATCTGCTCTGGCTGGTTGGGGAACGACAGAACAGGTCTAGGGTGTGTGGAGGGGGACGGGAAAGTCTTGTTGTGTGAGTGGCCCCTGTTCCATGCATGCATACAACACTTTGTGGTTTGCAGAATTCCACCAGAGCCTGTATATTCAAAACTCTGTCCTTATTTTAACAATCTGTTAACTAAATGATCATTACCATCTAAATCTCAAAGAGCTCAGAAGTTTGTTGTGAATGTTACTGAAAGACAGTGCCAAGAGTGGTGACCTTGGCAGACAACTGAATAGCCGCAGGAGTCAGAAGAAATCAGGGTCACCCGTGAACATGTGACGTACCACAGTCTGGAAGCAAGAATGAAGCTGGGTTAGGAAGGGAGGCTTGTCCTGCAAGGCTAGAACTCTCTTTTCAACCATGGTACACTCTACATCATCATCCTGAATCACCACATCTTTTTTCAATATTTTGACTGCATACAGTTCTTCTGTCCCTTTTCGTTCTGCCAGCATCACCTGCACAAAGGAGAGGGTGAAAAATTTGATGGCCACAACAGACAGGTTATTTCTTATAAAAATCTATAGACAAGCAGCCCTGGTGATTTGTCTCCTGCTCTAAGGAAGTGTAGTTAAAATCTTACTGTAATACAATGAAGCTATGCTACACAATCAGTTTTGCAATATATATTATATATATGGAACTACATCTGCTCTCAACAGCCAATTACATCTCCCAGGAATATGTACATATTTTTTGATGTAGAGATTACATATTCTTTTATTAAACACCATTAAAGTAACAGAACAATAGCAGGTTGCTTAGTGGCTAATAGCTGAACTAGAAGACCTTCCTACTCTTGTAAATTCAAATTTTAATCATAAAGTCGCATGGCCATCTCTAGAATGGCTCTTATGACTTTAAGGAATGGTCTGCAGCATTTTCAGCCATTAAGCAATTAAAGATGCATCTCATTCAGAAATGAAAAAAAAGGGGGTTGAGCTATTATCCTCCTTTCTCAAATGTTGGCAGTGTGGACTCCCATATGCATGCTGTTGAGCTGTTCACTAATGTTACTTTTCTTAGGTGAGGTCTTGAATACAGATGTTGTTTGGAATCAGGCACCAGGCAAGGAATTATGACATGTGAGGGCACTCGGTGCAGTTAAGAGCAGTTATTGAATTCTCCACCATCCAATACAATAATGGATTGAGAACTCGCATTCCCCATTTTATACTCACTCTGAGCACAACAGCACACCTACGAGGATATTAACTCTGCTTTTCTGGAGACATGCCCAGTACTTACTAATTCTGTTTAGCACAGTTCTTCCCTTTATCAGAGATTGGGAACACTGACTCTCTTCCTTCATACATTCAGTATTCCTCCTTTTCCTTTAATTGTTGTTGCTCCCCCCACCTACCCCTGTGTATTATACATTTGAGTAAAACACAAAACCCCATTAAAATAAGGCACATGAGAAGAAATCATCAAGGCTACCTACCTTCCCAAAACTCCCCTTTCCTAGCACCATGAGAAAGTTGAAATCTGTCAGCTTAACCTGATCAAGGTTATTAGATGGTAAACTACAGCTCCGGTCTTCAATTGGAGATATGACTTTGTTAGCTGAAGGTCCAAGTCTGGCTTTCTAAATAAATAAAGAATATAGCTGTAAGGTTTGCACTTTGCTTTCAAAGCTATGATTCTGACCCTTGTGCAATGAGAGAGGGAGTAGGAATGAGAGTACTAGCTGCATCCTCATCACTCTCCATGAGTTAGAGGGCTAACCTGAAGTGGGAGCCTTTTCTACTCATAGGTAAAGGACCCCTGGATGGTTAAGTCCTGTCAAAGGTGACTATGGGGTTGCGGCGCTCATCTTGCTTTCGGGTTGAGGGAGTTGGCGTTTGTTCACAGATAGCTTTCCGGGTCATGTGTCTAGCATGACTAAACTGCTTCTGGCACAACGGAACACTGTGATGGAAACCAGAGTGCACAGAAATGTCGTTTACCTTTCCACAGCAGTGGTACCTATTTATCTACTTGCACTGGTGTGCTTTTGAACTGCTAGGTTGGCAGGAGCTGGGACAGAGCAACTGGGACAGAGCCTGAACCAGGCAAATGCCTGCATGGGATTAATCTGAAGATTTGTTCTCAGAGAAGGGACTGCGCAAAATATTGCATAAGCACAAATTCAAAAGACCCATTCCAACAATATTGTGGGTATTGTTATAGGTGGCAATAATCTGTGTGACTAGATAGAAGCAACTTCTCTCACCTGGTTAAGAACACCCAAGAGAACAACATCAAAATAAATTATTATCTTCATGCCAAAATCCCTCAAATCAATTGATTTGAGAGCTTCCCTTTCAAAACATGAAGAGTGTCCTTAATAAAATGCATGCATTTAATATGTTGCAGGGTATACAAAACATTTTGAAATGTTTCAGTTGAAATATGCTCTTCATAGTGATGTTTTTCACAACATGTGACATGCTTTTTTGGAAAGAATGTCTTTACTCTCAACGGACAGCATATTATAGCAACCCACATTACGAGACTTACTTTCTGACCAATTACCACCAACAAATTTGATTTTCAGTCAAAACATTGTTCTCAGTGGGAAAAATATTGTTGCACTCAAAGCATTTGTCATGAGATGTTTATGATTTGCAAATGCATCCTTTAGGGTAAATAAAATTTAAAAGCAGCAATGAACAGTTCTTTGTATAAGCTGCTTTCCAAACCACAGAATGTTAAGACAAGGAGAATTCAAAGACTTATCTCTTAAGGAAAATCTCTCCCTAAAATATAACTAGCTTGGGCTACAGTCAATGAATTCATTTTGTTAGCGCCAAGATTTGTACCTGCACAATGGAACAGTCTCTTCTCTCAGTCTGTGCCCCCTGTACCCCACAAACCTGCTCCAAAGGGTTAGAGAAACTTCTACAAAACCCCTAGGAAATTTCCCCAGATCTTCCTTGTCATTTTTGTGCCTAAAATTAACATCCAATCATTTTAATAAAGAAGCATGAATACTGGGGTTTTCTAGCTGCTTCAAAAAGTCCTGTCCCGGACAAAGGTGATGTGTAGAGTCAGAAATGCTTCAACAAATTTTCACTGTATCATTTCACTAATAACTTCACTGGCAACATCAATTGGTTAAATGTAGTATACTCCTCATAAGTGGCACACAGAAAATCAACTGAGATAAGAAAAGAAAAACACAAGACTTTTACCAGAACAGAAAATTCTTAGAACTGTAAACTCCAATTTGAGTGTTTTATGCCCAAGTCAAATTAAGATGATAGATAGATTCATACAGGGGGTTAAAATAATAAAAACAACAACAACAACAGTAAGTAAAGAGTAGCCCCCATTACTTGAATAAAAGGTTGTGTTTAAAGCCACAACCACTACACTAAAAGCCAGCGAATCCTCACACCATGTCATAGTGGCAATTATGGTGTTATCCATATACCATCATCCAGATCTCTGGATGACCTCTTACGGAGGCTTTGTACAGATGTTAAAAGGCATAAGGGACAATACCGAACCCTGCAAACCCCCACAGCATAATCATCACAAGGTTGAGCAGCTGTGTTCCAGTGCTATGCTCTGGAAATGATCCTGCAGGTAGAACTGTAACAGAGCTGTTCCAGGAGAATATCATAGTATCAAAAGCCATTCAGAGGTCAAGACGAATAAACAGTTATCATTCCCCTGATATAAGGAATCAACCAGGGTGATCAAGTCTGTTTCAGCGCTAAACCCCGGCCTGAAACCAGATCAAAATGGGTCCAAGATATCGGTAAGAACACAACGATAATAAAGAGTGTAATCCTGTCCCACTTATTTTTGTTTCATAGTTCAATGGAACCAGGACTGGATGCAAAAATCTAGAGGAATTTGTAAAGGTAACTGACAAGACAACAGGTAATACTGGGGGACATGTCTTACATTGCTAGAAGATCTACAAAAGGAGCTAGGAGGCTTTAATTTCCATCTAGACAACCCACTCCCAATTATTGGGGACGACCAATCATCATTCTCCAAACACTAGGTTCTTGCCTGAAGCAAGTGCTAGCTATTTTTTTTTACATATTGGAGCCAAATTGCAGAATATGAAATATTACAATATCTAAAATTAATTACATCTACATGCCTCCATTTTTAGGATACAGAGTATGATCATTACTGCATTATAGCATATGCCTCATATTACTCCAGGTAGAAAATATTATTTATAGTGTGTATCCCAAGGCTGGCTCCTGACCTTTGAACGGAGGTTGAAAGGAAGCAAGCATCCTATCAGGTCTATCAAACCTGACACAGTACATCCATCAGATTGGGAATAATCCCAAGGGGTTTTAATTGAGTTCAACATAATTTATTAGGATAAGAACCTTCACTTGAATATTTTTCATAGCCGTCCTCCTTTTTAAATAAGAAATCAATATATGAAACAGATTTTTAGCCCAGCACAAAAATCAATAAAGGTCAAAATATTTTAGTGTATATCTTTTTCAGATTTATTTTTAAAATATATATATATAAAACACAAACTTTTTGTGGTATTTGTTATGAAGAACTCAGAGAGCTTTTAAGCCTCTGAATCACATTATTCTGTCACGCTGTATCACAAGCCAAATCTCACCATGCAATATGCAATGCATGCCGAATAGACTTCAGGCAGAATACCATGCAATGGACTTACTCTGCCTTAGCCAGAGAAGGTGCTATAGGTAGACATTTAAACAAGGAGAAAAAAGTTGTGTTCAGTATCAAACTCAGAACACTGCTTTTGCCCTTCGGATTTTCATGTTAATGTTTCAGAAACCAGTGCTTTCTGAAGAAGCAAAATACCACTGGAAAATATACACTTTGCAGTCTGATGCCATTTCTGCTAATGGTGGGGTACATTCATAGTCCTCCCCTGGTTCAGCAGCACTTATTAGGATTGCTGATTTCCTCATTCCTCTGCGTAACACAGCTGGGCTTTCAAATTTTAAGCCAAGAGCACAGAAGGGGCAAAGACCGTTCTGGTCTCCTTTCAGGCATGCAAGACCTGTGCAAGTTGGCTGGGGAGCTTTTCACTGCACATAGGATCCTACTTTAAGTGCAAGCCAAAGCAGGTTAGAACTATACATAAAGCTGCCCAGGAGCTGACTATCGGAATCTCTTTTTTGATGATTTGTCATTATTAGAAACTCATCTTGCATATTGACAATACACATGTTAATTATCTCTTAGTAAAACAATACGAAAAACCCACAGACAAACTTCAAATGCAGATTTCAAATGGAAATTAGTTGCACCACGAAGAGGGTAGAAAAATCCCAAGACATGCACGTAGTCTTACTTTCTTTGGTTTGGACGCACCTTATCTTGGACCTTTCTTTTACCCTGTAACCACAGGCAAGTTATTACTTTTGGGCATTGAACGAAACTACTATAATTCTATAAGCAAAAAACAAACCAACCCCAGTCCCACCTGGTACAATTATAGGGGGTTCCATTCACTTTATCTACTCCACAACTCTCTTTGGGTTTTACCTGCAGGTACTTTATGGAGAGCATTCCTTCACAGAGAACTAGCAAGAACATACCCTCCCAACTCAACAGGAGGAGAAAAGTGATCATAGCCCAGTCCTGATGCTTTCTCTGCCAGCAAATTAATCCTTAGAAGGGCAATAGCCAATAGCGCTGCCACAAAACATGTTAGCTTGCCTTCATGAAAAAAACAGGAAAGGGTATCTTCAGAAGTATATCTTCAGAAACTGATTTATTTTTCCCTAATTTGTGGATTTCACAATTTCAAGAATTGTGTCTGCAGATTCATTACAGACTAGAGCGAGGCTGAGCAGGGTGCTTTCCTGAATTCAAAAGCCAATCTGTTATACACAAGCAGAGACGTAACCATGGTTGCATCCATACCATACATTTAAAGCACTTTTCAAAGTTATGGCTTCACCCAAAGAATTCTGGGAGCTGTAGTTTGTTAAAGGGGTTGGGAATAATAGTTTGGAGATACACTGCAGAACCCAGGATTTTTGGGGGCGGGGAGAGCCATAACTGTTAACAGTTGTAAATAGTTCAAAATTGAACTATTAACTTCAGTAGCAATCACACTTCATCCATTGCTCCGAAAAGTCTCTCACACACCCTTGTTTATTTCTATACAAAATCTTCTGGGTTCAGTTTAAAGTAACTATAGTCTGGTATTGCATCTTGTCTCCAAACCATGATTTGAACCTGCAGTTTGATGTGGGTTTGCAAACCACAGTTTAGAGGTTGGCTCGAACCACAAATGTGCCGATTCCTCTTACCTCAGCGAACAATGCTTAGCAAAAAAATGAAAAGCAAACAAATAATAATAACAAACCCAGGAAGTGGAGGAAGGAACCCATGGACAAGAATGGGAAAGCACTTTGCTTTTGTGCTACGTTTTAATTAAACCTATGAGTCACACTACAACTAACTGCAAATAGTAGCAGGACTACTATCTAGTCCATTTGAGAAGGCACAGTATGCCTGTTGTCATAGCAACATGTTTAAGACAATCTCGAAGGAGCTCTCTTGCCTGCCTTCTCTTCAGTACACAGAAAACATGAAAAATGGTTTATGTGTGTGTGTTCATCTAATACACTGGAATATGAACCTATGTTTTCTGTAGTCTCTTTTTGGCGAACGATCACTTCAACGACATCTAGTGATCCTCCTGCAGTTGATCCCTGCATTGCAGGGGGTTGGACTAGATGGCCCTCAGGGTCCCTTCCAACTCTACAATACAATTATTCTAGACTTATGTGACATACATCTCTGCGGCTCACTACAAATTACTACTCTGAGCTCAGGAAGGCTTAGGAGATATAAACAGTATGTGACCAATGCAGCAAAGAGCAGAGCCCATGCAGATCCCCAAAATGTTTGAGCTTTGAGGAAGAGAAATCAGAGTTTGTCTATGTCCTTGCTGTTGATTTAAAAACAGAGCGAGGGACAATACTAATACTAACAACAACTTATTATTTATACCCCGCCCATCTGGCTGAGTTTCCCCAGCCACTCTGGGTGGCTTCCAATCAAATGTTAAAAACAATACAGCATTAATATTAAAAACTTCCCTGAACAGGGCTGCCTTCAGATGTCTTTTAAAAGATAAGATAGCTACTTATTTCCTTCACATCTGAAGGGAGGGCATTCCACAGGGCGGGCGCCACTACCGAGAAGGCCCTCTGCCTGGTTCCCTGTAACCTTACTTCTCGCAATGAGGGAACTGCCAGAAGGTCCTCGGCGCTGGATCTCGGTGTCCGGGCTGAACGATGCAGGTGGAGACGCTCCTTCAGATATACTGGACCAAGACCATTTAGGGCTTTAAAGGTCAACACCAACACTTTGAATTGTGCTCGGAAACGTGCTGGGAGCCAATGCAGGTGTTATGTGGTCCCGGCGGCCACTCCCAGTCACCAGTCTAGCTGCTGCATTCTGGATTAATTGCAGTTTCTGGGTCACCTTCAAAGGTAGCCCCGGGATGGGTGCCTTAGCCATTCTCTTACTAATTAGAGGGGAGGTAACCAGCCTCTCTCTCTCTCTCTCTGGGTGTGTGTGTGCATGTGTTCAGCCTAGGAGCCAATACAACAACAAAAAGGCAATGGCTGCTACTGGGTAAAGATGAGCTGAAGAGAGAAAGACTGGGCTAGATGGAGTAACAGGAGGAATGCCATAGGAAATGAGTATAATAACAAGTTTCTGGTTGAAACCACCAAGTGAGGAAAGAGATCATGAGGTGTAGCACTCCCAGAATTCCACCTGTTCCCCACAGCTGTCTAGGAATACAATTGAGCTCTATCTTCGGCACCGGGAGGGGATAAAAGGATGCGAAACAGGGGTGGCCAACATGGTGCCCTCCAGATGTTGCTGGACTACAACTCCCATGACCTCTGACTACTGAGCTGTGCTGGCTGGGGCTGAGGGGAGTTGCGAATTTCAGTGCCCATGATCCACGCTTGCTATCCCTGGTGTAGAATGATGAATGGCAGGGATAAGCATTTTCATGTTGAGGACTTCAGTCCCTGTTGAAAGTCATTGGTTCAGGGGCTGCACACCAGTAGGGAGCAGAGCAGGGCTGGAACCAAAAGTGTGTCCCTGGCTTTCTTTCTGCCACCCCTTTTTTCCTCTTTCTGCTGCCCTTTCTTGCCACCCCCATAAAATCAGGACAAATACACCGAGGGAGTGAGCAGGTTGCCCAACCCTGCTCTACCAGGGAGAGAGTGGAGTTGCTCACATGACAGGGAGGAGTCCATAGGGATTGAGCACGGCAACTAGGAACTGCCATCCTAGGTAATCATTGGAAATTAGGCAATATTATTTTTTTAAAGTTCACAGATCTTCCCTACCCAGAAGCCTCTTTTCAAGCCCGTGTATCTCCCTGGACACCCAGGATAATACCAGTTTATGTATTAAAGCAGCAGTCTATGTTATTTTCCAGCTATGCTTTAATGTATATGGAGGGAGAGATAGAATATGTGTTAAACATTTCCCCATTGACATAAGCGGAACTTTAAAAAAAACCAATTCCTTTTGCCTGGATTGCATACTGTGCCTTTAAGCATTAGGAAGAGAAATGTTCCCGAATCAGATTAATGAGTCTCTCGGAATGCTTCACTCACTATATTGCTGCTTCTACCACAGAGTAAGAAGACAAATTATAGCTTAAAGCAGAACAGGGACTACCTGCAGCATTATATGCTACATATAAAAATAATGGCATGAAATCACAATTATGTGGTCTGCAGTAATAAACAAACAAACACATAAATAAATGTATGCAGTTCTAATTTCTTGCATTAGGATCCCAACAACCTGATTTAATTCTTGAGAGATGTTTAAAAGGACTCGCTGCGTATTTGCTTTGTTATAGTAATGCACTACTGCCCTCCTGTGGTTTGCAAATTTAAAGGAAACTTATTATTCTCAGATTAAAATTACAGACATGTGTACACACACAAACAAACACTTTTGTGTATTGTATATCTGAAGCATCATAGCGGTAGAATCCATCATGCCAAGGAAACCTGTAGACAAAGTTGTTTCATATTACTTCCTGCAACACTATTTGCAAAAGTCAGTCTTCAGAAGCAATTCACTGACTACTTAGGTAAAAAAAGGTAAAGGTAAAGGACCCCTGGATGGTTAAGACCAGTCAAAGGCAACTATGAGGAGTGTCACTCATCTCACTTTTCAGGCCAAGGGAGCTTTCCGGGTCATGGGGACAGCATGACTAAACTGCTACTGGTGCAATGGGACACCGTGGTGAGTGCCAGAGTGCATGGAAATGTCGTTTACCTTCCTGCCACAGCGGTACCTATTTATCTACTTGCACTGGTGCGCTTTTGAACTGCTAGGTTGGCAGAAGCTGGGACAGAGCAACAGGCGCTCATCCTGTCGCATAGATTCGAACCTCCAACCTTCTGGTCGGCAAGCCCAAGAGGCTCAGTGTTTTAGACCACAGCGCCATCTGCGTCTACTTACCTGGCTACTTACAATGTAATGGGTCACCCACATTCATGGGTGACTGAAGGTTGATTGGAGGTGGGGGAGAACAAATAAAGAAACAGCAATCTGTGAAAGGCCGCAACTTCTTTTGAAAGGAGCATTCCCTACCATGTATCTCATAAAACCAGAGTGGATAGGATAGTTCAAACGTCTTTTGACCCCTTATCCAGGGAAATTGCCATGGAAAAGTCATCTACTGATTGCCCAGCAATTGTAAGGTAATTGGTTTCCCTTGTGGGCAAAAGTGATAACTCTTGGGGCCCTGGTCCCTTTGGCCCTCCCTCAATAAAATATGTAGGGATGCTGCTCCCCCCCAATATTTTCTGCAAATTGACACCCCCTCCCTTCCTGCCTCCTGCCCTCCCTTGGGCAGCCACCTCACCGCTAACCGGGCACTGCCCTCTTTTCCCAAGCCATGATTTAGCTTATCTTAACATGTGGACTAGGCCTATGTTTTCACCAAACTAAAAGATTTAGTGCCACCTGCAAACCTGACCACCTCACTGTTCAAAACCCTAACTCCAAATCATTTATGAACTAGTTAAAAAGCACTGATCTCAATACAGTTCTTTGTGGGACCCCACTGTTTACACCTCTCTTTTGCAAGGAATGTTCATTTATTCCTACTCTCTGGTTTGCCTTCTTGGTAAGTATAACATTCCTATTCTCCCCCTAATGCTTAGATTTTTCCCAAATCTGCAGTGGTCCTTCTGCCAAAGTTACAGCTAAAGAGAAAAAAAATTCAACCAATGTACATTCCCCAAGAAAACACCACTTATTAAAAAAAAACCTCAAGGGAGATTAAACATGAACAGGCAGAACAAAAGTCTTATCAAAACTATTGTGAACTA